GCAGGACCTTTGCTTTGGTTTCTAACCAGTGTTCTATGTAAACATTACTTTTTTAACAAACATTTTTGCTTTTTAATCTCTGCAGCAAGCCCGTGAACTTGTGGTGAAGCTGATCAAGGACCAAGGAGACTTCAGGGCTGGCAGGGCAGACTTTGGATCTAAAATGGGAAGCAGTCTGGATGTAAGAGCCTGTCTCCCCCTCTGTTCAAATGCTGGACAGCCAAGTTGATGCTGACTTATTTATTCAGAAAGAGAACCAGTTTTATCTTTTCTGAATTCTTCTTTCAATCCTTTTTGTTCAGGTGGCTGTGCCCAGATTTGCTGTTGGCATCATCATCGGTAGGAACGGAGAGATGATCAAGAAGATTCAGAATGATGCCGGGGTCAGGATCCAGTTCAGGCAAGGTGAGAAGATAACCGTGTAACTGAGTTTTCTCAAAAGTGTAATTCCATGTCATTGGCTATGAAGATACCACATGAGCTGTGATAGGCCAGAATGGGCTGTCTGTATTTCCTCCTGCATGTCCCTGATGCTGGTGGAGGTGTTTGCCAATAAACCTTTTCTTACAGTGAGTGAATGATGTGTGTTCCAGCATGATCATCCAAAAGTTACTCAATACTTATGAAATCCAAAATGTTAAAGGCTTTTCTTCCTTTGTAGCACTTGACAGTAAATGTGTGTGAGACCCTAAGAGCAGGTAGCGACCTCTCTGTGTCTGCTTGTACTTGTCCAGATGATGGAGTCAGTCTTGACAGAGTTGCTCAGGTGATGGGCCAGCCCGACCACTGCCACCATGCAGTCCACCTCATCAATGAACTGGTTCAGACAGCTCAGGTACATCAGTGTTTGTAATCAAACACACTTTTTACTGAACTCTTAATGTTTAGCAGGTTTGTCAGATGATAAACTGTAAGCATGATTACAAAATTTCAGTAAAGCTCATGATCTTAATTACCTGGAAGGAAAAAAGGTTTACACTTTTTTTTTTTTTTTTTAAATAAATACAGTGGTGTGAAAAAGTGTTTGCCCCCTTACTGATTTCTTATCTTTTTGCATGTTTGTCACACTGTAATGTTTCAGATCGTCAAACAAAGTTATATATTAGTCAAAGATAACACAAGTAAACACATCATGCAGTTTTTAAATGAAGGTTTTTATTATTAAGGGAAAACAAAATCCAAAACTATAGATCCCTGTGTGAACAAGTGTTTGCCCCCCTGTCAAAACACTGGTTTATCGCACCTGAGTTCAATTTCTCTTGCCACACCTGTTCGCAATCAAGAAATCACTTAAATAGGACCTGCCTGACAAAGTGAAGTAGACCAAAAGATCCTCAAAAGCTAGACATCATGCCGAGATCCAAAGAAATTCAAAAACAAATGAGAAAGAGAATAATGGAGCTCTATCAGTCCGGAAAAGGTTATAAAGCCATTTCTAAAGCTTGGGGACTGCAGCGAACCACAGTGAGAGCCATTATCCACAAATGGCGAAAACATGGAACAGTGGAGAACCTTCCCAGGAGTGGCCAGCCGACCAAAATTACCCCAAGAGCGCAGCGACAACTCATCCAAGAGGTCACAAAAGACCCCACAACAACATCCAAAGAACTGCAGGCCTCACTTGCCTCAGTTAAGCTGAGTGTTCATGACTCCACCATAAGAAAGAGACTGGGCAAAAATGGTTTGCATGGCAGAGTTCCAAGACGAAAACCACTGCTGAGCAAAAAGAACATAAAGGCTCGTCTCAGTTTTGCCAGAAAACAGCTTGATGATCCCCAAGACTTTTGGGATAATACTCTGTGGACAGACGAGACAAAAGTTGAACTTTTTGGAAGGTGTGTGTCCCATTATGTGTGGCGTAAAAGTAACACCGCATTTCAGAAAAAGAACATCATACCAACAGTAAAATATGGTGGTGGTAGTGTGATGGTCTGGGGCTGTTTTGCTGCTTCAGGCCCTGGAAGACATGCTGTGATAAGTGGAACCATGAATTCTGCTGTGTACCAAAATATCCTGAAGGAGAATGTCCGGCCATCCGTTTGTGACCTCAAGCTGAAGCGAACTTGGGTTCTGCAGCAGGACAATGATCCAAAGCACACCAGCAAGTCCACTTCTGAATGGCTGAAGAAAAACAAAATGAAGACTTTGGAGTGGCCTAGTCAAAGTCCTGACCTGAATCCAATTGAGATGCTGTGGCATGACCTTAAAAAGGCAGTTCATGCCCGAAAACCCTCCAATGTGGCTGACTTACAACAATTCTGCAAAGATGAGTGGGCCAAAATTCCTCCACAGCGCTGTAAAAGACTCATGGCAAGTTATCGAAAACGCTTGATTGCAGTTGTTGCTGCTAAGGGTGGCCCAACCAGTTATTAGGTTTAGGGGGCAAACACTTGTTCACACAGGGCTCTATAGTTTTGGATTTTGTTTTCCCTTAATAATAAAAACCTTCATTTAAAAACTGCATGATGTGTTTACTTGTGTTATCTTTGACTAATATATAAATTTGTTTGACGATCTGAAACATTACAGTGTGACAAACATGCAAAAAGATAAGAAATCAGTAAGGGGGCAAACACTTTTTCACACCACTGTAAAAACTACTGAATGATAAGATTAAATATCTGAAGAAGTTCTGTAAGTTAGTTAAAAATTTAGGGAGCAGATCCATCTTAGTACCAGTATTTGGGTCTTCTTTGACCTTTACAGCTGATGTCATCGACTGACAGTGATGGAATAAACATGACTATTATTAAATCGGTAATTGATGGTTGTTCTAAACCACTAACTTATATCTTTAATTTGTCCTTTCAATCAGGAAAATTTCCTAATTGTATGAAAATAGCAAAGGTTATTCCGTTATATAAATCTGGAGATAGACATAATATTACAAATTATAGACCTATTTCTTTATTATCGCAATTCTCTAAAATCTTAGAAAAACTCTTTGATGCTAGACTAGATAAATTTTTGGACAAATATAAAATTTTAACTGAAAAGCAATATGGTTTCAGATCTAATAGATCCACAGCGTTTGCAATAACTGAATTTGTAGAAGGTGTTACTAGTGCCTGGGACAACAAGAAACAAACATTGGGGATTTTTATTGATTTTCAAAAGGCTTTTGATGCTATTAATTTTGAAATTTAGAAAGGTACGGTATTAAAGGTTTGGTGTTGAAATGGATAAAAAGTTATTTGACCAACAGACGGCAATTTGTAAGACTGGGCGTGCACCAATCAGATTTTCTGGATATAGTATGTGGAGTCCCACAGGGGTCAGTTTTGGGTCCTAAACTTTTCATACTGTATATTAACGATATATGTAATGTTTCTGAATTATTGAACTTTGTACTATTCGCTGATGATACTACTATATGGGCCTCTGGGGAAGACCTACAGCAACTTTTGGGTCTGATTACTGTGGAATTGGACAAGGTGAAGAAATGGTGTGACAGGAATAAGTTATCACTAAATCTGGACAAAACAAAATTCATGCTGTTTGGATATGGAAGATTAAATCGTCAGATTCAAGTAAGGGTGGGGGATGCCAATATAG